CGCGACGACCCGCGCGCCGCTAGGACCGCTTTCCCGGCGATGGGCGTGGCCTTGACCTTGACCATCTTCGTCGCGTAGCCCGACGCGCCGTAGAGCTCGTTGGCGCCGCCGATGCCGTTGCCCCGGAGATCCAGCGTGCGCAGCGTCCGGTTCGTCTTCACGGAGTCCATGACGGACGCGAGCTCCGAATCGTCGAAGTCCGCGTGCGCCACCCTGAGTTCCACCAAACCGCAGACCTTGCGCTTGATGAAGCTCGACAGCTGGGCCGCGGACCGCCAGTCCAGATCGTTCTGCGAGAGGTCCAGCGTCTTGAGCTTGGGCCCCATCTTCTCGAGCGCGCGGAAGAGCGGGCCGATCGTGACCTGCGCGGAACTCGAATCCTCGACCCGACTTCAATGTGAGCGTATGCGACAATTTCGACGCAAACTCTTTTGCCGTGCTTCGAGGACTCGATGAGAGCGATCGGTTCCTCCAAAAACCAGCCGAATCGACTTCGATTTGACCGAGCTCGAGAGGTTTGAAGTTTGGCCGGAATAAACCGAACCAGCGGTCGATTTCCGCGCCGATCGCGACGTCCGTCCACCGGTTGTCCGCTAAAAGCAGCTCCCCGAGCTCCGGCAGCTTCGGCAGGACCTTGACGAGCACCTCGCCGACGCCGTCGCCGAGGCCCCGGTGGCTCAGGTTCAGCGTCGTCGTGAGGTCCCGCCGCAGGAGCACGCACTCCGGCGGCAGGTCGCGCATGCGCACCAATTCGATGAGGAACTGGTGCCGCGGGCTCGCCGGGTCCGCGAAGATGCCCGGGTCCCTGTCGTCGTCGTCGTCGGAGTCGTCGAGCTCCGGGACGTAGTCCACGGGGCCCACCATCTTGAGCTCGTCGAGCGACGTCACCATCGCCGCCTGCTTCGACAACGCGCGGAACGCCGCGGCGAACCTGCGCGGAACTCACATCTTCAACCCGACTTCAATGTGCGCGTCATCGAACAGTTCAGCCTCTTCGGCCGTGCTTCGAGAACTCGCCGAGAGCGATCGATTCATCCAAAAATCGGCCACATCGACGTCGATGTGACCGAGCTCAAAAATTTCAAAGTTCGGTCGGGACGTGCCAAACCGGCGGTTGATGTCCACGCCGCGGCGAACCTCGCGCGCGCGTCGTCGCCGAAGTACTTGGCCTCCTCGTCCTTGGACAGGTTCGCCACGGACGGCGTCTCCGACAGGGCCTCGCCCTCGGGCGGCGCGTCGACGAGCGACGCGGCCGTCGGCAGGCTCTCGGCCTCGAAGGACGGCTCCGCGGTGCCGGGCGCGGGCGCGATCTCGGACGACGCCGCCTCGTCGGCCTCGGCGTCCCGGGCGATCTGCGCGAGGCCCATGACGCGCCCGAGGCTCGACGTGGCGAGCGAGCGCCGCTCCGCGGCCGCGTCGACGGGCGCCGCGACGGAGAAGCTGCCCAAAAACGCGACGGCGCACTTCTTCGACCGCGCCCCGGGCCGGCCCCGCTTGCCGAAGAGCGTGCGCATGTTCGCGTCCTGCGTGCGCTGCTTCAGGTAGGGCGGCGGGTACTCGTCCATCTCCATGTCGTCGAGGTAGTCAAAGTCCTCGCGCCGGTCCGTCTTCTGCAGCAGAGGCGCGAGCCGCGCCTCGGACCACGACTCCTGGAAGAGGCCCTCCTCGCCGGTCATGACCGTCGCGCCGTCGAAGGTGCGGTCGTCGCTGGCGAGGCTCGCGCCGCCGGGCGAGGAGGGCTCGCCGAAGGAGCGCGCGCGCGCGCGGCCCGCGGCCGGCGAGCCCGGCGGCGGCGCCGTCGACGGCCGCGCGCTCGCCGACCGCAGCAGCGACGAGCCGCCCAGACTCCGCGCGCGCTGCGACGCGCCGTCGCGGTCGAGCATGGACCG